TTGCCAGTGATTTTCCTACCAACCTAGGAAGTCTTTGAGTCCCACCTGCACTATTAAAGACCAAAGATTCCATGAGAGGATGATCTATCACTAAGCAGCCAATTTCCAATAAAACTTATGAGGGCTTCTAAAGCACAACGAAGAATGTTAAATTTTAACATATTAGAAGTCCATTACAGGTACAGTTCTTCATCAATAATAGGCAGGAAAAACTCAGTTGCAGAACAGAATTTCTCCGGCAATAAGTTCAGGAGATACTATGCATCCATGGTTGCATATATTTATAAAGAACGATGGATGTCCTTTTCTTTTCCGTGGAACAAGCAAACTTGCAATCAAATAAAAAAAAAGAAAAGAACATGTAGTTCCAGGTAACTAACTATGAATGACAAACAAAATATAGTAAATACCCAGGAATTATGGCAAGTCCTGTTTCTGGCAAGCCCAATACTGCATCTTCTCCTGAATCATTGATAAAGGGCATAGAGATGTGAGAATCATGTATCGATTATCAAGATATAATTTTACATAAGAAAATATTGTTCAGTGTGGCAAATGTGTGAGAGACTAAATCTGCAACTACCACATATCCGAAGATCACATGTCAAAGCCATTTCAAGTCCACCACCTAATGCTACTCCTTCAATAACAGCTATGGTAGGAACACGGAGTGCCTACATTTACAGAAACATGTTGCTTATTAAGTGGTCAAGGAGGAGAAAGAAGTTGAGACAAATGCACTTACATAAAGACATCTTATAATAAACTCATGGATCTAACATTCTTGGGCTATAGTATAGGTGGAAAGTTTTGAAGGAGTTGGCTACATGCAAAATTCAAATCTTTGAACAAAAGGTCACGGATAGCATTGTAAAGATGAGCTGTAAGAATTTCATGCATTCCTGGAGAACTAGAATTTGAACAACACATACACAATTCATCCATATGTGGACTTGGAACCCACCCCTGTAACTGTTCCCCTCAGACCAAGTCTCACAAACACATTCTCAAATCAACTATCTACAATGTTCAAGTAACAACAAAACATAAATAACTATTAGAAAAGATGTAGACAATTATAAGGAACCACCTCTATGAATGAGAACATAGATCGCAATGAGTTCACAAAATTTTGAACTTCAGATGGAGTCATTGTCTTGCGCTCCTGCCAATCCAATCAAAGGCAGATCAGTCAGGTATCTGATTCGCTACCAAATATATGTGCAGACTTGCAGTTTCCTAGAGGAAATACTATTGCTACTGTCATCCTTACAAGAAAGAAAGAAATAACTAGCAGATGGGGAAATAAGAACAACAAAAATCACTAAACGACCACACGAAAAGCCTCAATGTGCTTCTGAACATAGAGAATATGAGCCACAGCCCATAAGTGAGTTCAGAGAACCTGAAAACTTAAATTCTATGAGGGTGAAAGTGATGCAGGAGGATCTGAACAGGCAGATACAGAACTGTTGCAATTGGACCACGGGGAAAGCCTAGCACAGACATTTATAGACTAGATGGACAAGTTTAAGCCAACAAGAGGTTTAGTCGTGCCAAATGACTTAACTTTTGACGGAAATGGCTTAACTTTTGATCCACTATATCATTCTCAAATTTTACAGGAGAATTTGCAAGTCATGTTATATTGAGGGTCGGCTTGTTGTAATCAGCCAAGGTTATTAAAGACCTTCAAACTAGGAACCATAAGATGCTGTTTTTTCTAGTTTAGCATATCACTTCCATAGTTGTGTTGAACCAAAGAGTGGGACGAGATTCAAAAGAAAGAAATTGTTGACTATTTGCCATCAGTCCAGTAAAATGTACAGAGAATCTAAACAACCCAACTAGACTTTAAGATTAGAACTTAGAAACTCAAAGAGATGAAGTCTCCTCTACTTTCTAATTGTCTGCTGTAAGTTTTCAGCTAAAAGGGCAAGTTGCTTTCCATGAAGTCTCTTTCTTTTGGGATATAATGACATCAGACCTTTCGTGACATGGCAAAAAGTCTTAAACAAACAAAATCCCCAACTATTGTTGAGGAAAGAGAAAAATCAAAGTCCAAAGAGTGAAAGCATTACCTTTAAATCAGCACCAGCACAAAAAACCTTTGGAACCGAACTGCAAATCAAAACAACCTGAGCAGATTCATCACTTTCGATTGTTTCAAAAGCGTTGCGTAACCCTCTTAACATTTCCTTCCCAATTGAATTTTTCGCTGCAGGCCTATCCAAATTAACCTCAACAATCCCTGTTTTAGTAACGAAACTCAATTAGGTTCATATTTAAACGATCTAAAACAAAAGGGAGTACAGAACCGAACACTAATGCAGAGAGTTTGAGGTGGGATTTTCACCAGAATCCGAATCTGACAACCTTCGAAGCTTGACTGATTCATAGGATAGGGATTCCAAGATGAAGGTTCTATGGGTTTGGTACTGATGACCGTTGCTGTAAATGTAAGGATTCGGCAAGTTATACGATTTCGAATTTTTCACGCAGCGATGACTCAATGATCTTGTTAGAGCAGTTAAAGTACCCATTTGCCCGTTTCTTTGATTCTTGAAAGATTTGGACAGATTTTGGGGGGAGTTTAGACGGGAACAGAGAGACAGGTTCGGGTTTTATTTCTTTGATTTTTGCTGGGGATGGCCTTACCGATCATCATCAACATCACTAATAATAATCATCTAAGCATAAGAATTAGGATTAAGAGATTTGTTTTTATAATATTAAGTTAAAGTATTTTGTTGTTTAAATAATAACTATTAAAAATTTATATATTATTAATTTTAAAATTTATAAAATTAATTATGTTATGCGTAATCTATCTTAGATATTCATATTAATTTAAAAAATAATATTATTATTAATAAATTATTATTATTATGGAGTAAAACTATCAATTTACTCTTGGATATATATATTAGGTTGAAAATCAAGATTTAAAGCCTTAGAAAAAAAAACTATATTAAACGAGGAAGAATGAATCTAATAAGATCATAATATAATGTAAAAAACAATCCTGAAATCCTGAATAATCCAATTATCTTTATTAATTAAGTTTTTAATAACATCATAATTTGTTAATCAATCTACTATTGTATTAGTATTTCTAAATGTGTTTTGACTTCAGGCCTCTCAATCCATGGTTATAAGCTCCCTTGCTTTTATAACTTATCTATCTGAATAGTTAATTTTGTAATTAGCTAAACTATTAATGAAGAGTTCGATTTTAAAATGACATGTCTAAATTCAGTAGACTAAACTAATTTCAAACCAGTGATAAAGATGCATAATATCTCCCTTGATTAATCAACAAATATCTATATTAATAGCAAAACCCTTACATCATGTACCCAAGTTATCTTTTAAAATTATCTATATTAATAGCAAAACCCTGACACCGTGTACTCAAGTTATCTTTTAAAATCCTGGGTTGCTTTTACTATAACCATTCACATTTAATTTTATCCCATTCATGGAAGGATACTATCACTCTACATATTGCACTCGTTTTTTGTTGCTATCTTGATCCATATAAGCAAACTTCGCATGCTCAATACTTGTTAGCATCCTTTTAATAGTTATAGCTACAATGCATGAGGGTTGTCTTTGATATCTAAAAATTGAATTATTTCGCTCTTTCCAAGTGCTTCATACTTCATGCTGCTACCCCAAAGATTTCAAATGAAAAGAAGATAAAGCTATTTTGATATATCTTTACAGTAATGTTTCTTTCACTCTCCTTTTCTTCAAAAAAATTTACTAGAGAGAAGAAAAATAACTGAGGTATGGCCTTGAGAAAAGCTGAAGCAAGATGTTCCACATAAACTATTCAATGGATCCCACACTTAAAAACTATAATTTAATTGACAACCAAACAATTAATTTTATTGATTTAGATGAAACAGAGCAACTACCGCACTAACGAACACTTTTCTGCAAAACTAACCATTGTTTTTACATTTCCTTTTATTAGTCTTAAAAGAAAGTAAGGATTGGTATTTAAAATAATTATGGAATATTTAATTTTAATCTGTACAGTGAAAATGAAAGAATCTGTATAATATACTCTAAAAATTTTATAAAACCAAATAGGTTTTTTGATTTGTATAGTTAAAAAAGAAACATACCAATCCCATCCCCTTCGTAGTTGTTCATCAATTTTTATGTGATGAGAAATAAGATTCAGGTTTTCCTATATAACTCCCTAGATTGGATCCGAGATGCTTGCCAGGCTCAGCTAAGACAACTTTCTCAGACTGGTCGAGCAAAAACATTCTAAACAATAGACCAATTAAATAAATAAATTGAAACACAACTAGATACACGACCAAACCAAGCTCAAATCTCTACTGCTTTATTAATGAAGAACATAACTTATTCTTTCACTTCTATGGATCATCCAAAGCTCCAAACAATAGACCTGTTAAACGAACAACACAAGTTAGAATGCAATGAAGAAGACAATCTCAAGCCCAAATTCGATCTGACTTTGGCGATACCTTGTTAAGCAAAATTGAATTTGTGCTGGAGCTCAACTTCTACTCTGCAATGGACGAATCTTCAATCAATTCGATGATCTGGGTTCTTTTGGTAAGAGGGAGAGCGGGTTTCTAATGGATATATATATTATATACAGTACTATCAATTGTTTTTGATAAACAACGAACTACTCTTTTTATAAAGGTTATTTTTAGGGTTTGGCATGTGATTGTGGAAATTGGAGAATAATGATTGAATCACTCTTTATATTTTATTATACTCAATTGGATTGGTTCAAGGCTGATTTGTTTTTATATTTTAAAAAAATTAATTTTTTTAAAAAAATTATTTATTTAAAATTAATATTTTTTGTATTTTTAAATTATTTTGATGTATTAATATAAAAATAATTTTTAAAAATAACATATATTTTAATATAAAAAATTATTTAAAAAATAATTAAAACTATATAGCCGATTATGACTGTAGTCCGACCGTCGTAGGCCTTATAGAGGCGTAGAGGTGTGGGTCTGACACTATGGGCTCAAAATGATACACTTATCGAGATCCTGTAGTTAAGAAAAAAGAGATGTGAAAAAAAAAAAAAATCAAAGTTGTTGACCCAGAGCCCAGGTCATCGTGTATCATCCAATTACAAGTTCTCTACAGGATTTTCAACTTAAAGCTGTTATAGCCTATGAACCCATCGTTCAAGTCGAAGCTGCTTCATAGGAGGTCCAAAATTTGGCTTACTCTTCTGAGGACACTTCCATTTTCCAGTGACTCCAATCACATCAGGGAGTTCATGATTGGAAACTTCTGATAGCACCTTTCTTTTTACCGAGGCATACTTTTCACCATCTCTTGAAGTCATCCCTCTACCTTTTGGACATTCCAACAAAATCTGTTGTTGCCTTTGCATGTCCAAAGAATTTTCAGCATTTGGTTTCTCAATTCTACTCTTCCTTGTTGTAACAAAACCATTTCGTTGAGCTTCTTTTCCTTCATTTTCTTTGTTATTGCTCCTTCCATGGGTTGACTGACTCATTGAAAAAACTCCGGCACCTCGAACAAACTTCACATTGCCCCGAGGAGATACAAGTTCAATTTCTGTTTGAGCTTTTACCAAGTTTTCTGCGGAATCCTTCCTGCAGTTCAGCTTTGTTGCAGATTTATCGCTTGATCTCACATTACTCGTGACTGACATAAAACCAACTTCTTGCGCTAGATTTTGCATCTGTGGCTGTTTAAATGGAGGCACTTCTAACCTCAAGCTTGGTTTCTCAACATCTTTGGTTGGAACAATAGCATGGCTCAGGACTGATTCATCTTCCATGCTAAGCTTCCCTTCATGGTGCAGATTTTCCAGAATAGATGAGCCCTCTTTCTCAACATCCCAAGAGTCCTGTGATGTGAAAAGTGGATGTACGAAATGACTTGGAGAATCACTAAAAAAAAACAACCCCTTCCCCTTGAGACCAGCTAAAACACCCTCATGCTGAAAAGAAAGATATTAGCTATAAAACCTGTCAAACATGTCAAAGCTGACCTGAGAGGGAGAAACCTTATTCAAGAATTTTTCCTGTTTATGTTCTCCCAAGGAGGCATTGAACTTCAAAAATCCATTTGAGTGTTCAATTTCATCCGAACTTCTGTTTTGTCCTAATTTCCATAAATTCGTTTCTTTATCTCGCTTGCTGTCTTGATTAGCAAATTCATCACCCTCGCGTGCAGTTTTGTCATGAAGAAATCCAACGCTTTCACCCAGCACAGGTGATTCATACACGTAGCTGGGGAACCAGTTCCTTATGTCAGGTGGCTCTGGCAGACAAGAGACACACAACAACGTTATTACCCTATAATTAGCTAGTTTAGATTTTTCACTTCCTTTGTTTTCAGCTTTCGTTGATTCAGTAAAGCCAGGAAGCATGTTCTGAAAGTGCTACTAACCAGAAAGGAATGAGGATGATTGAGAAGAATTTGGAACCTGCAACATTCAAATATTAACTAACTTCAAACACAATATGATAACTGAGAATTTGCGCAAAAAGTTTAAGAATATCAACAGTGAGTGTGATTGTGATCAATGTAACACAAGTAAGAACGATGGATTGAGCAAATGCACCTTACTTAAAGGCTTGTCGTCACAAACATCTCCAAATGAACTCTTACACTTAATGGACCCATTTGAGGATGGCTTCTCATTAGCACGTACTTCATTGTTGTTTCCAGAGTTTCTCAAATCCCCAGCCTTTTCTTCTCTTCTATTCTTACTCTCTTCATTAGCAAATCCATCCTTCTCACCTTCACTTTCTTTAATAACAGATTCGTTAAAATATTCCGCTGTATCCAGAACAGGAGATTCATAATCATAGCTCGGAAACCAGTTTCTGATGTCAGGAGGCTCTGATAAAAGAGACAAAATAAGTTTAAAATGGTTTCGTGTCCCTAGTTTATTTACTTTAAGGACAGAATGGTGAGAATTGAAGGTATCTTTTCGTTCTTAGATCACATTATCAGCCTAGAATTTGCTCAAATTCCATCAAACCAAGCACAAAAAGGAATCGGTACTAACCAGAGAGGAGAGACAATGAGCACAGAGAATCGGGCATCTATAACGAAAGAATAAGAAAGTGTGTTAGATATGAGAACTTTTAGCATATAATTATTTGATTTATAACTTAAACAAACTAGAAGATACAAATACATGATTATGCTAAATAAGGCACGCCAAGAACCCAAGTCATTGCCGGTGACAAGATCACGATCTTCAAATCTAAATCAATCAATTTTATCCTAACCAAAACAACGGTATGCTATTGACAGGAAGCCTATTATTGAAGTGTCCTAAATATAGTAAATACCACAGGTAAGGACCTCACCCATCCATGATTGTGTCAATGAAATACAACACTAAATCCAGACCCAAATTACAAGTTACAGCAATCATCCATTCGATAAAAGATATGGATTGGTAGTAATTTCCAATTTTTAAGAGAAATTTATGTGCAAGAAAGTAAGAGGTCAGTAATTATACCTACCTTATTAAAAGACTGATCTTCATGCTGATTATCATCACTGCTGTTGTTACCGATTCTTGTGGCGTCGCAAGAAATTGTTTCCTTACCTTTATTTCCCTCTTCAATGCAAAGACACCCATCTCTCGAACACTCAAAGTCAGTTTCCTTAAGAATAGGACCTCCAAAAACATCATAAGTATCCAAAACAAAAGATTCATACTGGTAACTAGGAAACCAGTTTCTTATATCAGGTGGCTCTGCAAGAAACCATATGAAGAAACTTGGTTACATACCCATTTCAGAATACATTGCTTTTTACTCAAGAAAATGGATAGGTACCAGAAGGAAGCGGCAAAGAAGAATCAGGAACCTGCATAAAGTAAGTGGGAAAGGTCATAACTAGAAATGGGGAGGTTTGGGTTTGAGAGAGAAAAGATGCGTACCGCCTGAGAATCAGAATCAGAGGTGTTGTCCATTAGAGATTGATCTCAATGTCAATCTATCTATCTATCGCATACAATACAAATACTACAAGGAGATTGACCGGGGGCTATAGTAAGTATTAAATAATGAAGAAACTAAAGACTGATCGAAACTTCAAGCTAAGTATTAAATAATGAAGAAACTAAAGACTGATCGAAACTTCAAGCTAAGTATTAAATAATGAAGAAACTAAAGACTGATCAAAACTCCAAGCCCTAGCTAGGAGTATAAAAAGAAAGAACTCTAAAGACTAAATTTAGGGTATGAACAAGAAGAAAGATCAAGAACAAAAACTGTTTCTTTATCTTGGATTCATGGTTTTTATGGATGCTAGTGTGTGTTTGCCTTCATATGGGGCGCGTCAAGTTCTCGGGGGAACTGTGGGGTTTTGTATTTTTCTCTGTAATTAGGATTTTTTTTCACCTTTTGAAACCTAGCGGGACTCTTTTGGCGCCTGTTTTTTTTTATTGAATTCTGCTGGGCAGAAGCCCAGCTCTTCCGACAAGCCCAAGCTCAACACAATAAGGTTTGGCAGGCCTGCCTTCAATGACTGATCCAGATATTTAACCATCGAGAGTAATGGGTTCGCTCAAGGTTGAACCGAGATTCAAGCTCAACATGTAAGGACATGTTATTATTTAATAAAATCTAATAATCCTTTTTTATGTTTTTATAAAATAAATAAAAAATAGAGTGAAAGTTTAATGACCGAGAGATCAGAAGAAAATTAAAAAAAAATTAAGCTTGAATCAAACCATGATATTATGAGCATGTTTGTTTTTATGATGAATTTTTTAAAAAAATAAATAATTTTTTAAAAAAGTTATTACATTTAAAATTATTTTTATAATATTTTAAGACTATTTTAATATTTTATAAACAAAATATACTTTAAAATACAACAACCATCACAATGCTAAACAAATTCTATAATAACCAAGTTATTTCATGTTTTATCGACTTTATAATTGGTTATTTTTTAATTGATTTTCCTGGTTTTTTCTACAAAACTTAAAAAGATTTTTTAAAATTGATAATTGAATCAATTCACAACCTTTTTCAAGTTGAACAATTTATTCATCCGGGTTTTAGAAATCTTTTATATTTGAAACACTAAAAAATTAAATTAGAATAATTATCCTAAGATGTCATGAAATTATAATCATCATTTAAAAGTTTTAGACATTTTAAGAAACCCTCTTCATATTTAAATAAAATATTATAAAAACTCTCCTTTTATATTCAAAACACCCTTAATTACTATTCAAATATTGGATAGATTATAAACTTAGACATTAGAAAAAGATTTCAAAAATTAAAAAATCAATTCAAAATCAACCAAATTAACCGGTGAATTTTATATTCTATATCTACCAAATATACATATATTTTCTTGGATTTGAATTGCTCATACGCAGCCTTGCCATACCGGGAACAAGGTTCCCGGGTTGTTCCCGACCTCTCTCTTCCAGTTTTTTCTTCTTCTTTTTCCCGTCTTTAATTTCAATTTCAAGACAATGTTTTTATAACGAATGGCACGGCGAATCATGCAAGCTCTTTTACCGCCAATGAGGCCTGCCCTCTTGTGTCACACGATAAGAATCTTCTTCGGTCGCTACATGGTATTCATACTGATAGCGCCACCCTAGCTAGCAGCCCTGAGTTACGAGTAGGGTTGGCACCGCTGCACTTGTAAAGAAGAGGTGAGTAACATTTAAGCTTTTGGGAGACAGAGGTATGAGACTCATCTCGATGACACACTGAATAATCTTTTCACCTGCTTATCCTTAAAATAACAAAAACTCAAAAAAACTGGATGAGGCATCAGAGTAAAAAAAATGAGGCATCAGAGAGTCTTTTACATGTGACACCAACTCAACTCATACCGGTGTCGTTTAATCCATCATCAGCTGTGAAAAAACCCGAAGTTCTATCAAAGCTAATTTTACCTGACTTCATCTTAACCCTACAGTCTATCCTGAGAATACCACATGCCATGGATATAATGACATAGGGCATAACGATATTTTTAGGGTTAGGAGTATAAAGTGCGAGGAGAGATGCACAACAAATCTTCTCAGGGGGACAGCGGTATGGACGGAGGCGTGGAGAAGACTTGGCCAAGGTGCGGCCAGGCGGTGGAGACGACTTGGCTATGAAGAGAGGTTGTGTGCGTATTCAGGATTAATTTCCCATGTAGGATAAGGGACCTAAGTAAGGTGCGGCTCGATGAATTTTGTAAAGGAGTCCGAATTTCATGCCTTGAATTAGTGTAAATTAATATGTTTAATCAAAATATCCGTTGATTTGAATGTGTAAATTAAAAGATTCCATCCAAGATGTGCTCGTCAAATCCACCTATACTTCAAATAATGTGTTCATGAAGAAGCATGGAGAGAAATGTTCTTAGCACCTTTTTCCGGCAACAAAATATGGTTTTTGTTTTTAGCATTTGAATAGATTTAGAGAAAGTAATCTGCATCGGTATTTTCTAGGGAAGGGCGTTGTTAATTGATTATACGTGTAAAACGTTAAAATCGGCGTTCAAATCTTGGAAGACCAATTCAAAAATTGCCTCGTAAAGTTTTCTTTTTTATTATTATTTGTCAAAGATGTTCATACTAAACATCCAAGAATCTTTCAAAAAGCTCGAACACGAAGCCTTACATAAGGATTAGGTTCGCACGTTGTAAGCAAGTTCAGAGTTTTTTTTGTTTGTTTACTGTAAATAGAATCTGTCAACATAAGTCCAAACCCTTAAGGAGGCGGCTGTAAGAAATGAAAGATTTCTGCGTTCTTATTGTATTATCGTTCATTCCTTAAATATTTTTTTTATTTAAAAATATATTAAAATAATTTTTTTAAAAAATATTTATATTTATTATTAAAATAATCTAAAATTATAAAAAAAATTAATTTTAATTAAAAAATCTAAAAATATTTTTTATCACAAAAACAACCATTCATGTCATGAATAATTCATTATTATTAATTTTAAGAGCCAGCTCAACTAATTAAGTATTGAATTTGCTTTTTAATGATCATATATTTGAGTTATTTTAAAATTACCAAAAACTTATATAATTTTTAACTTTAAAATTATATAATTAGTTTAAATATATACAAATTAGTTGAAATACTCGTATTAATTAAAAAAATCACCATTACTTGATCGAATTCTTTTGCACAGTGCATAAATGTGTTCAGAACAGTTCCAATTTCTTAATCCCAATCTTGTCTTCGCTCTGAAACACTTTTTCCACCCATTCGTGCGCTCTGCCCTTGGAAGCAACCAGGAAGCACAAACCAGATAGATAAGGAATGCCTTGCCTTGTATGATTTAAAATAATAATAATAAGTTGTCCTTAACAGCCTGTATTTTTAAGCCCTGGCCATCAGACTGTCCCTTTGACTACGATCTTCAACTCAATCCAACGGTTCAGAATGGATGAAGACTGCGAAACGGGGAAGAAGACCTTCTGTGGTCAAAGAAGCTCCGTGGAAAAGTCGCCATCTTTCATGATTCGTGCCATACCCTGTGTGTATATATAATAACACCCTTCCCACCACTCCTTCCACTCCATCCTCAGCTCCCTGAATATTTCAAAACACAACTAGCTTTTAGAAATAGAAATAAAAAAAAAAAAAGAAGGGAAAATCTCTTAATCTCTTCTTTTGTTCTTTGAAATTAATTTTGAAGCTCAGCTCGATCCAGTATTGCAAAAGATGGAAACGGATCAAACTCAGCAAGTAACTTCAGCCTTAGAGTTCATCAAGCAACATTTGCTTGGCGATCTTCTTTCACCTGTTGCTACCTCCTCCGCTTCTTTTTATCAATTTTCTACAAATTCTGAAACCTCTACTTCCCTACAGTGTGAGACTACTAGCTGCTCAAGTTCTGACTTTTCCACGGCACTCCCTGATTTTTCCGGTTCTCTAGATCTTCTCGAGTTCACTTCCGTTTTGAGTCCCGCTCAAGAGAACAACACCAATATCTTCGAATTTGAACCTAAACCTGAAATCATTGATCTCTTTACGCCAACGCCACTCAACTCAACCTCCCACATCAATTTCCAATCAAGCAGCAGCAGCAGCGGCAGCAGCGGCGGCAGTAACTTCTTCGAGTTTGAATCCAAACCTCAAATTCATCAGAATTTCAAATTTGAGTCGAAACCACAAATCGTTTCTCAGCGAGGCAACAGCTTCTTCTATGAAGAACCAAAGCCTCAGGTTCAAACAGCTCGGAAACGCTCTTTGAAAATATCGCTGCCTAGCAAAAAACCCGAATGGATCCAGTTTTCTTCTAACCCAAACCCGCAAACGGTGGAGGATAATTCTGGTGTTGCTGCTCAAGAAGTAAGGCATTACAGAGGAGTCCGACGCAGGCCATGGGGCAAGTACGCAGCGGAGATCCGGGACCCGAACCGGAGAGGTTCACGTGTGTGGCTAGGAACCTTCGATACAGACCTTGAAGCCGCTAAAGCCTATGATCGAGCTGCCTTCAAGCTGCGTGGGTCGAAAGCGATTCTCAATTTCCCATTAGAAGCCGGGAGGTGCGAGGAGGAAAGTGAAAGGAAAAGAAGTAGAGAGGGTGGCGTGGAAGAGAGAGAGGTTGTGAAGAGGGTAATGACGGTGGTTAAGAGGGAGGAACCTGAAACTGAGGGGGATATCCCGTTGACGCCGTCAAGTTGGACGGCTGTTTGGGATGGTGGTGATACGAAGGATGTCTTCAATGTGCCCCCGTTGTCTCCGTTATCTCCTCACCCGCCATTGGGATTCCCACAGCTAATGGTTATTTGATTAGAATTGAAGAGCCGTTTCTCTTCATATTATTCGAGATTCTTTTTTCCAGTGTGTGTGTATATTAGAGGAGAACATTAATTTTTTTCCACAATAATAATTACTATATTTTCCCGTAATCATTATTCCAGCCTTCGAATATCTTATAGTTCGTACGAGGAACCATATGATAATATTATCAGTAGAGATGTCACATTTTTACCATGTTATATGCCTTGCGTTATTATTGGTTTTCTATAAAAAAAAATATTATTTCCAAATATATCTAATTAGTTTAACAATTAACCTCGGATGTGCTTCACAAACAAGACCGCAATCCAAGGCCATTAAGAAAGATTGTTTAATCTTACGTATGTATCTATGGATCTTAAGAAAGATATCGTGCGGGATCCGTGGCAGATGATTGGCAATTCTACCATCAACTAAAGTAAAACCTAAATAATTTTTTTTGTCTATCTTCTAGAAATTGAACCTTGAAGCAATTAACAATGCCGGTGAAAGCAGGTCTTACGGAGCCAGTAAGCATGATTTTTGCCTTAAATATTCGATTTCTACCTGATTTGTCAAAATTAATCTCCCTGTACAGAATGAACGGGTCTTCCCAGTGGCTTGTCCATGCCTCTATATATAATTTTTTTTTGTCGGGTACTGGTTTTATATGATACGACTTAATGTCGAAGACAAATGCACATGAATTTAATATTTAATGTTGCTGGGCAGATGCATATCCAGGGTGTGTCCTAACCTTCGTTGGCCTTTTGACCTCTTCATTGAATTTTGAAGAATTCAAATGCTGAAAAGCTCCACAAATTTATTACTTTTTCGGCTGGTCAATCTCATGCTTATCCATTATATATTCGGCTATTGCAAGAATCGTATAGCCTATTAATTACAGTTTCTTGACATATCCGTTCGGGCAAGACCATGTGAATTTACAGGACTTGTGCAGGGATTGAGAGATACAAGAGATCGCGACTTGCTTAACGGTCAGAGAAAGCGATTTAGCAAAATGGCTTCCCTAGGAAGCACGCTTCCATCTCATGACAAGGAGTCACGTTTGTATAATCACCACTCCTCCCCTAAAGCCCCAGGCTTCAGTGCTGTCGAGCTCAGATATGGGCATGCATCGATCATGGAGTAAAGTTGTTGACTCCCTGTATTGAAAGGATAAGAGTACAATGCTAGCATTAATTGGATATATATTTATTATATCCATCATGTTTGGTGTATCTTGAGACGAAATGTTTTCAATAAAACAAAACTTTAAAAAAAATACAAAAACTAGAAAAATAACTTTGAAGTAGGCTTTGTAAAGTCAACCGGATTATAGAGTGATTTATTAAATTATTTAGATTTAATTGAGTTAATTTTTTAAATAATTAAAAATAAACCCGATGTGAGTTATAATAAATTAATTGTTGAATTAATCATAACAAATCAAATTTGATTGTAGCTCGTTAGAATTGATAACTTATTTAGTATGTCAATTTTCTTTTCTTTTTTCCATCTGGGTCAAAGACTTTCAATTTCTTTCTCAAGTATTTTGATATATTTTATTTATTATATGTTAATGTGTTTGCTAAATTACCTTTGAAATAATCATATCTTCACTAAATGTATAAGGGCTTTCAATTTAAGAAAAAAAAACTTTTAATTTCTTTTTAATTGAGCCTTTGCATTTCTATTTTTTCCAATGGAGATTTTGAATCTTTTATTTTAGTGATTTGAGTTTTTGAAATTTAAATTTTTTCAATCTAATACTTTAGTTATTTGGAGTTAATATTCAATCGTTGATGTTCCCTTAAGTGTCCAGTTGTCTTCCTGCATGCATGTCATAATTCCTTAGGAAAAATTTTAAACATATACGGTTTTTTCTTCATATAAAATTAATAAATTCACCTTTAGTTGAACTTGCTAAAAAAATTTACAAAATCGAAAATATATATATATATATATATATTAGGACGTGTTATAATAAACTAAACCAACCCAATCGCTCAATTGATTCATATGATTATATATGATTTTGCGTTCTTGTATAAGAAATTGGTCTTGATTTCGGACAAACTTAAAAAAAAAAATTGGTAGTGATTATGTCTTGCTGCACCTTAGATTTTGAATTTAAAATTTCTAATTTATAAAATAACTAAAGCTCTTAGGTTATTAAATTAAGGGTTTGGTTTATGTGAAAGTGAAGGAAATTGAATGAATCTTATTTATTTTTAGACAAGTTTTTTTTTAATTTGAATAAGTTTCATATTTGCTACTTAATTAATCTAGTGTTTTAATTTCTTTTTTTTTTCTTGATTGAATATGGCCTCCGAAACTATGTTACATGAACATTTAGTAAAATATCATTAATATTTAATTAATGAATTCATAGAGAAACACTCAATTGAACAATCTTAATTAGAAACCCGGAAATCCTAAAAGGAAATATAAAACCACAACTACCCAAATAGAAAAATTGATAAACACAGACAATACCGATTAAAGTAAATTGAAAGGCCAATAGCTCCTTGGTGAGCATGTGAGGATATATTCCTTGTGTAACAGATGGAATCTCTATGATTTAGATAATTTATATATAATCTAAATATATATGAACTAAGAATTTCAGAAAATCTTAAATCTCTAGTTTGAAGTTTTGATTAATCTTTGTAACCAACAAAGGATCATGCTTTCTTAATTCTGAGATCAAACTTTTGGCCGAACCAATTACTTGACGTGGATGTTCTAGAAAACTAATTAATATGTGGAATAGCTCAATACTAACGTGCATGGTAAATGCATTTACCTCCTCGCGGGAGGATCATTCGACTGGTTAACTAGAAAAACAAGGGAATGGCGCCCATATATAAGACTTGTAGTAACGTAAATCAGCTTTGTCAGTGCTTGAAAGCTGAAACATTCTGAGTTTGTAAGTAGGAGAAAGCGAGCTGGAAAAGAAATATGTGAAAGGGATGCGAAAGAAGATGATATGTGTATCTCTGGGTATCTATCTAAAATCAACTGTGGATCGAGAACTGAGAATATCAGCCATCCAAACTACCGGCCATTCTCCGAAGAAAACAAAGCCTTGTACTGACTGACGACGACAGGTACGGTCGTGATCATGGTGGATGGCCATAATGGGCACCCACTTTCCGACCAAGACAGGTGTGCTTCTCTCTTTTACGCAGCGATATTTCAACATCTTCTCCATGCATAATAACACCAAATATTTCTCTCTCTATTTCTTGTAAACTTGTAGTTATTTTTGCAAGAGATGGTCGTGAACTGTACAACAAAACAAACCGTAGATCACCCAGAAAGAGGAAGGAAAAAAAGAACAAAAAAAAAAAACGGGGTGGCGTTTTCAATCCAGTCAATGGACATTGATTGAAAATTGTTCAGTACCAAACCTTTCGAAAATTCAACATCGGCTCTCAGTCAAAGTCATAAGTATCCAGCAACTAGTAACTCTCTGCATCATCTATTGCTTTGCGAATATAGGTTGCTATCATTAACTAGACATTCAACGTTGAGACTTTCGTACCAGTTAGCTTTGTAAAATTAAACTAAACCGAGCGATCGGATAGGGTTAAGAAGGTAGATCAAGTTGAATTGTTTGGGTTTGAATTATTTAGTTTTCAACTATATATGAATTTCGAGTCAACATATATGTTTTTTAATGGAAAATCCATAATAATTGTGTAATTAATTCTCATCAATTAACTTAGTTTATTTGTGGCTGATTTGCAATCGAACATTGTTTTATAATTTTAAAATAATTATGACCAATTTGGGATAAGGAATTTGAACTTTAACACCTCCATATGGATCAGTTTGGTAAATATTAGATAAAGGGGTATAAATATATTGTAAATAAGAAAAAAAATCAATAAATTTGATATATGTAAATTTGAAAAAAATAGAATGGAAGCTCAAAGTTTTAAAATTGCAAATATTTAATTTTAATTTTTTATTGTGAAATTCAATCACAAATGTAAGAGAAAGAAATGAAAAAAAATATAAAAATAAGGATCAAATTTGATAAATTAAAACTCTGAAAGATGATGAAATTAAAAATAAAAATAAAATTTTTATAAATTATTTAAAATAAAATAAATAGCAATTAAAATAATAAAGATCAAATCTAATAGATAAATTAAAAATTTAATTAAGGAAATAAAATAATAAATAATAAATCAAAATCAAAATAATAAGAATCAAAATTGATATAAAAATTAAATTATATAGAAAAATAAAAAATAATTCAAAACAAAATATATAATAATAATTTTGAATGATATATTGTTTGAAGAGCTAAATTAATAAAATAATATTTTAAATAGTATAAATATAGTATTTTTCTATGTATACTCCAAAAAAAAATTATTTGAAAAATCAATTGTAATGGAACAAAAGAAATAAGTGCTTTATTTTTTCTTCATAGAGTTTAATGTTATTTTTTACTCCCACATAGCTCTATTTAAATGATATTTTTTTATTAGCTCTACTTTGTTGATTTTAGTTTTTTTAAAAAAATATAAAAATAATACTTTAAAAAAATACATTTTGACATTTTACTCAACACGTTTTTTAAAGCATGTAAAATAAGGGTTGAAGAATTAAAATAATACTATCTTTTTACTTTTCATTTAGTACACCCCGTCGGAGTTGGTCTTATTATTCACATACCTTTCAATTTCGATGGATTGACTTTTGTATAAAAGTCAATCTATAAAAGTCAATCCATTTTTTTATATATAATTTTGGAATTGACTTTTCTCATCTTTCTTCTAATCCATCCTTCCAGAGAATCAGACCGTTTATTTTATCCGCACATGGTCAAAGTCACACTACTAGCACAAGTAGCAAGTACTTGCACCAGCTGATATGCATCGCGATGGGGACATTGAATGGGTTTAAACCATTCGTTTTGGATTTACTTTTCCAATTTCAAGGGAACCCATTTGAGGCCGGCAAAGATTGTACTTTGTTGAGGTTTGAAATAAGTTGGTGGTCAAACTCACATCAGCC